AGAAGTTTATACTATGACCTAAGTGAAGGAAGAAAGAAAACACAGCAGTTTAGAGCCAGAAATTGTCTGTGTCAATGTCAATCAGCCTTCTGCTTCTCGTTCTCTGGAACTTCCTACCATGACAAACCTCGGAGATCTCTCATCAGACCTTCAAGAGAGATCTAAAGGGAGGAGGGAAATACAAAAGTTGCATTACCCTTTTCAAGCAATAAGATTAAAAGCTGTGTCGCCACTAGATTTTGGTTTGTTTTTCAGCTTTGCTTTAGTTAGTGGGTGGAAAACAATTCTCACCTTGGGGAGCCAGAAGCTATAAAACCGTTCTCCAGGGACCCAGCCACTTCCTAGACATCTCACCCCCTTCCAAACAGCACCACCAGATGGAGACTGAGTGTTAAAACACATGAGTCTGGGAGACAAAGTTCACAATCAAATCACAGCAATGTAAATGAAGAAACTGAGCACGTAATAGAAATGACTAGCAAAGAAACCAGAGACCAAATCACGGCAGTAGAAAAGAGATTGAAAATGCATCCACGTTACAGATAAACCTGAGGGATTCTAATGGATTAGACACAGGGAAGAAGGAAATTACAAGTCCAGAATTTTGAATCTTGAATCTTCAGAGAATAAGGCCATCATTACCAACATGGCACAAGCGCTGGATTTCAAAGAGTTTGGAAACTTCAAGTTCTACACACAAGCAAGTGACACCCTTGGAGGACGTACATGTACAGATACAACCCAGGGCAGAATTCTACCAAAAGTCACAGCAATAAACACAGGAGAGAAGGAATTCAAATCAATTTCAGGCACACTTTTGTCTACATAATCTCCCTGGAAATTCCACCTTAAAAAATCATTAATGTGAGGATATGTGGCTGGATTGGCGGAATGCTTGCCTACTGTGCACAAGCTGTGGCTTCCATCCCCAGCTTGGCATAAACTGGAGGGAGAGTGGTGCACATTTGTAATCCCAGCATTTAGGAGGCAGAAGGGTCAGGAGTTCAAGGTCATTCTTAGATGCCTAGCAAGTCCATGAGGCCAGGCTGAGATACACAAGGCCCTGTCAAAAAACAAACCCACAAACAAAAAACCTAAACGGAAACAGAACAACAAACACACAATAACGCCAAGTCTGCCCCCCTCAGACACCACACAACACACAATAAGACATGAGGATGGCAGTTACTATCAACTCAAGTCTAATAGGGAAAGACAAATGGCTGTAACCATTGTGACAAAACAGATTACACGGCGATAATTCTTAAAGGAAAGGGTGTTTGCAGCATACACAATAACTTAGCAAGAAAACAACAACAACAAAACAGAAGTAGGCATCAGTAGAATGAAGAGGTGAAGGAGAGACAGTAAAGTAGCAGTGTGAGCAAATAAAAGAGGACAGCAGAGTCACAGAGGCGAGTGACAGAGAGAGCTCACACGAGAGAGCGCACATCCCAGTCTATACCCATCAGCCTGCCACAGGAATGCCTGTCATGCTGAGGGGAAGAAATGGGTCACTCAATCACTGGGAATGCCTGATAGGGACTGGGTGTTTATATCCCCAAGTTTCATCTGTTGGAACCTCAGTGTGAAGGTATTTCATTATGGCGGCCTTGGGAGGAACCTGCGTCCTAAGGGCAGAGCCTCAGGATAAAATCCATACATTTGTATGAAGAACCAGCACCAGCCTCCTCTCTCTCCCTTCTACATGTGAGGCTGTCAAGAAGGCAGCTACCTGCCCCCTGGGTCCTCCCAGGTACCATGCCACACCGTGCCAGCACTTCTATGGTGGTTTGTCACAGCCAGAACTAAGAACTTGGGAGTGCTCCCATCTGCATGAGCCCAGCTGAGAGCTGTTTACATAAACACACAGGGCCTCTGCTACCTGAGCTTGGTTTCAGGGTCATCAGTCAGCCTCCTGCTCCTACAGCCATGTCTTCCCCACCCTGATGGGTTCTTAAAACCTTCCTAGGTGGTCTTCATCAGGGTATTTTATCACAGCCACAGAAAAGCCACTTAGCACTCCATTTTTCTCATCCCTAAAGCCGATACCATTTTAAATGTTCAGAAACACCATTTGTAATGGTGTTTACAACACCATTACACACAATAACGCCATTACAACACAGTTGTAATCCCCGTGCTGGGGAGTCAGAGATTGGCAATAAATTTCTATGTCCTTACCCAGCCTTCTCAATAAAGCCTTCACTGCTCTATGGTATGCTTGGAGACCTGCTTCTGCTGATTAGTGCTTAGATACGGGCATATTATCTACATTACTCAGAAATTTAATTACAGCCCACCTCTCAAGTCACACCCCAGCTAGTTCCTTTGCAGTCTCAAATCCAGCTCTAAACCCTGTCCAAAGCAGGAGAAATCTATGCAGGCATTCAACAGTTTATACTTCATCACAACGAAAAGCCCTTGAGGGTTACAAGAAAGGAAATGACAAGTGAGATTTGCCTCTTAGAAGTTTGCCCCGAGTCCAGAAGGAAGACATCTGGAGAGTGTCTTTTTATTATAAACATCGAACTAGTTAGGAGAGGAAGGAAGAACCTCGGGGCAGGAAGGCCTAAAAAGAGCAAGAGCAAAAGGTCTGATTTAGGGAAGCAATTGTGTAGATGGGGAGAAATGACAGGAAATTTTATGAGGAGGAATCAACAGAATGTGATGGTTATTTTAACACATCCTGGGTTAGGAAAGGTTAGGAATCTCACCATCCTCATACCGGCGTTTCTGGCCTTGTCAACCCTCCTGTCTACCCCGTGATTACCAGAACTGTCTCAAACTTCTTGGTACCCACAGATATGTATCCAAAGCCCAACAAGGCTGCCTTGTTACCTTATCCGACACCTAGAACCTGAGATGTCTGTTTTTGCGGTTCTTTCCAGGAGCACATGCAAAGCAACACAAGCAATTTCAGAAAGGTGGCCAGGGTGATGGTGCTGTCAGCAAAGTGATTGACTTGTAAGGATAGGGACCCGAGTTCAATCTTTTGGGACCCATGTGGAAAAGAAGCCAGGCTTGGTGCGTGGCACACAGTTGTAATCCCCGTGCTGGGGAGTCAGAGATTGGCAAACCCCAGTTCCAAGTAAGAACCTTTCTCCAAAAGCAAAGATCGGGGCTGGAGGGTGGGCTCCATGGTTAAGAGCACTTGCTGCTCTTGCAAAGGATCCGGGTTCAGTTCCCAGCACCCATATGCTGGTTCACATCCCTCTCTAACTCCAGTTTTGTTGGACACCGTGCTTTCTTGTGACTCCTGAGAGCAACAGGCATGCTTTTTGTATGCACATGTACATGCAGGCAAAGCAATAGTACTAATAAAATAAAATAAATGTAAAGAGAAACCATAAGGCTGAGGGATGACACCTGAAGTTGATCTCTGGCCTCCATGTATAAGCTCACACACATACACACACACATCTGCACACATACAAATCCACATACACATGAACATAAACCAAAAAAATATTGAAGAAATGCGTGAAAAACTAGAAAATAAATTCATTCGCCATTTTAGAAAGTGACAAACTGACTTACTCTTTCTGTCATCAGTAATCATTAGAATTGTTGTAAACGGGCATTAGTTAAGTAAATCTAATTCATTACTTTTTATGATTGGTTTCTTTTATGCATATGTGCTCTTCCTATGTGCAGTGCTGAAGGAGACCAGAACAGGGTGTCAGATCCTCTGGAAATGGAATTATAAATAGTTGGGAGCCACAGGTCCTCTGGAAGAGCAATCAGTGGGTGCTTTTTTTTTTTTTTTTTTTTTTGGTTTTTCAAGACAGGGTTTCTCTGTGTAGCTTTGGAGCCTATCCTGGCACTCGCTCTGGAGACTAGGTGGCCTCGAACTCATAGAGATCCACCTGCCTCTGCCTCCCGAGTGCTGGGATTAAAGGCGTGCGCCACCAACGCCTGGCCGGTGGGTGCTCTTAACCTCCATGCTGACTCTCCAGTCCTAACTTGTTTTGTTGTTGTTATTGCTATTATTTTTGTGTGAAGCAAGTTTGTGAGCGGAGGTGCATACCTGCCCCGATGCATTTGTGGAGGTCACAGGCAACTTGTGGGAGTCAGTTCTGTCTTTCCACCATGGGATCCAGGGATCAAATTCAGGTTGTCAGACTTACATGACAAGTGATTTTCCCCACCCGCTGAGCCATCTCAACAGCCCAATATATCTAATTTGAGCCAAACTTAGATTAAATAGTCTAAAAACTGTAGCAATGGTTTTTGGGGGGTAGGGAGAAATGGGGGCCTCACATAACATGGGCTCTTACCTGTAGCCAAAGATGAACTTGTCCTGATCTTCCTGCTTCTACTCACCAGTGTTAGGATTATAAACATATACCATTACTGTCAGTTTCTAACAATGTGTCCTAAACTGTAGTCACTCAAAATCACCCAGAGTGTTTTTAAATTGCAGAGGTTTTGACTCAGTTGGTTACTTCTGAAGCCATTGTCTTTGAACAATATTTCCAGAGTTTTGGCTTATTATAAAAATCCCTAAGAGCGCTCCTTGAAAATGTGGAGTCCCTAGCCCCATCTCTGATCTCCTGAGTGGGACTCTAGCCTCCTCTTCAGGAGAGGTAGGGAGGTATCTGAATATTTTCATGTTTCACACAGTGTGTAGTCAGCCAGCATTGATAAGCACAACCTGAAAGCAATCCTAAGGTTTAGGGGACTTAGTTTTTCCATTTTACAGTGGGACAGAGGCGTAGCCAACCTTAGTTCTAGTAAATGTATTTAGCCTTTCCCCTGCATGATTTGCACCACGAATAAGTCTGCTATTTGTGCTTAGCACCTTGACAGCAAAGACAGAGGCACTACCTTAAGATCCATAGAAGCTGCAGGTGCTCCCTGAACCGCAGACAGGCCGCTTCTCAGATTCAGTGTTCCTCCCTTTCATCTACTTGTTAGAGCATGTTCTCATGGTTCTTCGCTATAAAGTAAAAGCCTGGGGGCGGGGGGGGGGGGCACACTCCACACATCCAAAATGAATGGCATCTGTGCCTCCATTTAAAGTGCAGTTTGACTGAGTGCACAGCACTCAGTTGAAAATTATTTTCCCTCGAATATCTCATGATGGCAATGTACGCAACTCCTCCTAAAACAGTTTCTGGCACATATTTATTTATTAAAGCATAAGCATGCATGCCCGAATGAATGAATGAATGAATGAATGAATGTATTCCTGAATGTCTCCTGCTTAGCTCTATCTTCACCTCCACTTTGCTCTCTCTCCTTTCAGGGTTGACTCTCCCTGACTCTAAGATACACAGCCTGCGCTTGCTCCTGCTCCAGGAGCGGAATCTGAATAGCTGTGGAGGTTCTCAAAGCACATTTCAACTCACAGCCTCGGCTTCACCTGGGAACTTGGCCCACATGCAAAGACTGGCGGTTTTTCGAGCCCCTTCAGGCATGCTAATGGACACAGGCTTTGTTAGGCTGCCCCTGGCGGGATTTGCTTTGGGAAGATATGGTGGCCAGAGGGAAGAAACGCACCTGCCAGTGTGCTGACGCTAACCCTCTGCTATGACTACCAGGCCGAGCCGCTGTCCCACTCCGGTTTAAAGGTCTGGCTGTTAGACCACTGCGCTGGTTTCGCGTTCCTCCCGTCACCTGAAGCCATCTGACTACATCTCCGCTAGTGCTGTCTGGACGAACCTGGCAACAGAGAATGAAATTACAAGCACTTTCGCGTGACTCTCGCCCTTTGGGTAACTTAATGCAAAACTCTAAGCAAGCTTGACACAAGCGCTTAGAAAACAGGCCCCCATCACTTCCAGCCGCTGACTCTTCCCGCAAGGGCCACTAGGTGTCGCTCTCTGTTCTGTTTATGTGGCTTTCCTACGGTTGGTGGATTTTGGCTTCCTGGGACACCTGAGTTTTGAGAACTAGCATAACTTGTTTTGTTCCCCGCCACCCCCTTAGCAAAGAGCTAGATTGAGTCATCTTTGTTCTTCACCCTCTCAGAAGTTGCATCCATTTTTACTCTGTCTAAGAGAAGTCTGACAACTCAACTCCCGGATCGGGACCCAACTGACTGTGAGTAAAGTTCCAGTAGATAACTATTGCTCAAAGGACATTTGACCCTTTCCAGTAAAGCTCAATAGAATGATTAAACTTAGCCAAGGTTCCTGAAAGTAAGTACCTAAAGGTCTTTACAGAGAAGCAACGATAATCATGCAAGCTTTGTATCATAGAAATGTTGGTTTCACGGATTATCCAAATAATTTCATTGATCACAAGATAACTTTTCCTATTGGAAAAGATTTATCTTCAAAATGTTCTGTGTGTCTAACTTGTGCTCGCCCTTTGAGAGCTAGGTCCTGACTCACCACTCGGTCAAAGCCTCAGAAAACCTCGCTGGCCCCTTAACCCACTGAGTTAGGGCCTCCTCTCCTCTGTCCTCGTTCTCACCACACTGACCTTCTATAAGTTAGGAAAGGGGCTGTGCCAGTCACTTGTGTCTGTAAGGATCTCAGCATCAGCTGTGTGAGAGGGGCACGCAATAAGGAAACCGCCTGCATGACTGTTTCATTATTAGGGAAGGGTTTTATGATAGATATGAGAGAGACAGAGACAGAGACAGACAGACACACACACACACACACAGAGAGAGAGAGAGAGAGAGAGAGAGAGAGAGAGAGAGAGAGAAAACAGCCAGAGTCATATAGAAGAGTCTAGAACCAAGAGAAAGAAAGCAGACTGAACGTGGTCACCAGGCCTAGGGAAGCAAGAGAGCAGGAGAGGATGGTGAGGATAGCAAGTTAGTAAGTGAGCAGAAAGAGAGAATATAACGATAGAGAGACAAAGTGCGGAAATAGTGGAGATTATCAGGTTATAAGGAGGGTGAACAGCTCTGCAGAGGGAAGAGCCAGGAGGAGACTGGCATAGGGGCTTTGGAATGTATGACGAGTACTTGTGACCCTGGGGGAGGCTTTGATTTGCAGCCACAGGTATGTGTCAATGAAGCCATAAGTTCCTTCTACCTAGAGGTAAGGGAAACGGCTCCTTATGGCAGATGGGAACCAGTTTCACAAGGTCCTGAGTGAATGCTGGCTTTTATCAAACCACCAGGCAGGTATCCTCCTATAATCCAGGTTGAGTTCATGTCTGGATATTTCAGCAGCCTGAGACCTAACAATCCCCTAAGATTCAGTATGGCACAACCTTCTATAGCCCACAGTAGGCTGACTGGAACACAGCGACAGATGCGCAATGAGCACTTTCCAAACAGAGTTTTGTTTTGTTCTCTTTTTTAGTAAAAAAACAATCACAGTGTTTGTGTTAGTCAGGGTTCATATATACTCATTCTATCATATAGAATGGATGACAGAATGGATATATATTAGAGTAGTGGCATCAGAAGATTCTTGACCCTGGTTCCATCATTCTTGAAACATTTGGTTGTGAATCTTCACCTTTAACAGCTGAGCTATCTCTCCAGCCCATGATTATACTATTCTTAATTGCCCAATTAATAGTCTCCCAAGAAATCCCAAGCAAATAGAAGGTCAATTCTGGCTAGTACCTTAGAGTCTAAGGAAAAAGAAAATCCGCAAATTCTGGGCTCAAGAGATTCTCCCATTGCCTTAGAAGCCCGCCCATGTCCTTGAAGGCCCTCCCATTGCCTTCAAGACCCTCACCCCATGTCCTGAGAGATCCCTCTAAATGCTGCTCTATCTTGTATTTGCGTTGTGAATGGGCTCCTGCATAGACAGAATAAGTGGCCAATGAATGTGGTTTCTCGGTTTAGGAAAATGAGGACCCTGAAATTTTTTGTATTATTAACAAATCTCAATGCTCATTTAAGTAAAAATAATGATGAGAAGGCTCAGGGTCTTCAAGGTGCTGCCAGTCATTTTATTTTATCTTAACATTTTATCTAGAACAAGCCTTCTAACAGAGGTTTTGAAGAAGAAAACATTGTGTATTTCGATGAGAATAAGAAGGGCAGTAAAGCCGGTGTTGGTGGTGCATGCCTTTAATCCTAGCACTCGGGAGGCAGAGGCAGGCGGATGTCTGTGAGTTCCAGATTAGCCTGGTCTACAAGAACTAGTTCCAGGACAGTCTCCAAAGCCACAGAGAAACCCTGTCTTGGAAAAAAAAAGGGGGGGGGGCAGCCATCTGTATCTCCAGTCCCAGGGTATCTGACACCCTCTTCTGACATCCATAAACATGGTGTACAGACATACATGCAGGAAAACAACTCACTCACAAGATAAATTTAAATAAATATAAATGTAAAATGATAAAAATGTGAACAACTGTGTTGACTTGCTTACCCAAAGAGCCTGGCACTGTGCTGCCTAAGGCTGCATGTGTATCCTTCTAGATATGGTGTGTTGGATGGTAAGTCCCAAGCTCATACATAACAGTACTCAGAGGTACTTGGATTTGGATGACAACATTGCTGAATTTATAAAAAGAAAGGCTAGCGTGTTTGCAAAGCTTGTTCAGACTCTCCATCAGTACTGTCCGCCATGTTCCGATGCAGGAAAAGGGCCTTCACCTGGGCCCTGATGTCAGCTCTTGAACTTCCCAGCCTTCAAAAACACAGACTAAGTAAAGCTTCTGTTTTGCAAAGTACCCAGACTGTGGAGTTGAGGTATGGGAACAGGAATCAGTTTGGCTGAATTAATGGGTTACAGTGACCAGAGATCATCTGACTATCATTTTTGTATGTGCTACCCAGACTAAATGGTCATCTGTCTTGTGGACAAAGGCATGCACTCGACCCCTGTGATCTGGTAGGGATGCTGGGGTGGGGTGTTCTGCTGTAGGAATGTAGGAAGCTAGTTCGAGTTTGACAAATCTCCATTTAAAAACCCGGGAATGGAATATTTATTTATTTATTTATTTATTTATTTATTTTGGTTTTTCCAGACAAGGTTTCTCTGTATTGTTTTGTAGCCTGTCCTGGAATTTGCTTGGTAGACCAGGCTGACTTCAAACTCACAGAGATCCGCCTGCCTTTGCCTCCCAAGTGCTGGAATTAAAGGTGTGCGCCACCAGTGCCCAACAAAACCGGGGAATGGAATTTCTAACCTCTCGGATGCAAACACCTTTACATTTAAAAAAAAGAAACAAACAGTAGCGACAAAAAAACTTTCCTGAGGAAAGATTTTTCCCTTGAGTATATTTGTGAAAGGCTGACCAAAACCTGAAAGTTTCTTTTAGACGGTGCTGCTCTAGAGGCTTGACTGAAAGCAAACCTGAGCAGTTTTCTTTTCTAAAACTGGGTGATAATTGCCGGGTGGTGGTGGCAGCACACACCTTTAACGTCAGCACTTGGGAGGCAGAGGCAGGCAGATCTCCATGAGTTCCAGGTCAGCCTGGTCTCCAGAGCGAGTTCATGACAGGCAGTAGGGCTGCCTACAGTGGAGAAGCACCACAGCTGTTGTAGCCCCAGTCAGGGCCTGTGAGGCGCATGCTGGGAGAACAGCAATTTCCTATTTCCCATGTTACTTATTAGGGTGAACCAAGAGAAACCTCATAGGCAGGATGGTGCACATGAACAGAAACAAAAGGCTCATGAAGCCCATAGCCTTTGGTCTGCTAAGCTCCAAATTTGATGGTTCCCAACATGTGATGCCACAGTATCAGGAGAAGTTAATCTTCTCTGCTTAGCAGAGATCAACAGAGAAGATACTACCTTCTGGAATGCTGGAGAGGAGCCCAGGCCCAATGCCAAAGAGGAACTGGTCACCGGAAAAGGTTCTAGGAAAGCAAAAGCAAAGAGAAACTCCTTGAGGCAAGAATAAGTTTGGCATGTGTGGTGAATTAAAAGCATTCCCTCTTGGCCAGTAAATAATGAGACAAGGGGAGTGAGATAAGTTAGAGCCAGAGGAATACCCACAATACAATTGCTCGGCCCATGCGAGCCAGAGCTGAAAATTGTCACTGTACCCCGAAGTGACCCCTGTGAGAAGCAGGCGGGTTTTTTGTTTGGTTGTTGTTGCATTTGGGTCTCTTTATGTTTGCTTTTGTTTGTTTTTTTGTGGGGGATTTTGTTTGTTTGTTTGTTTTGACAGACACTATGTACTCCTGGCTGTCCTGGAACTCACTATCTAGACCAGGCTGGCCTTGAACTCACAGATACAGGTCTTCCTCTGCCTTTGAGTGCTGGGATTAAAAGTGTGTGCCACTACTGCAGGGTCAGACTTTGAAGTTTTGCTGATGAGTTAGATTGGATGTGTGTATTCTACAATACACACATATGTCCCTCCTAGCATGTCATGACCTGGTTACACAATGGTGATTGGTGCCCACCTATGCCCTTCCTCATGTTTTGCAACTGGGTCACACCATGCTGAACTATGCCCAGGGACACCCTTCCTTATCTCGAGTGAGTCCACAAATTCCACAGGGACACGGCACTCGTCACAACATTCAATGCTTCACTCACCAGCAGCCTGGCACAGTGAAATATAAACATGCTTGCTCTGGACTTGAACAAGCTGCACCTTACTGAATGTGAGTGCTCTGATGATTTTTATTGTGTGTGGGGGGAATATATAAAGAAATGGAAATGTTTGCAATAAATAATTTTTATCACAATAAAGGTTGAACTGGAAAAAACTGATCAGATATCTAAATATAAAGAGATATTATTAATGATTCCATGTGGTTTGAATTGGGTAAAAAAATGCCACAGGAGT